GATAATTATGTATTAGAGACATGATGTGTGAGATAATTGATGTATTAGAGAAATGATTTGTGAGATAATTGATGCATAAGAGACATGATGTGTGAGATAATTATGTATTAGAGACATGATGTGGGATAATTGATGTATTAGAGTCATGATGTGTGAGATAATTGATGAATTACAGACATGATCTGTGAAATAATTATGTATGACACATGTGATGTGTTAGATCAATAATATTTCCAAATTGTCATGAATCAAGTCAAAGGTCACAGATTGTTATCAGCAAATTTATATTCAAATATCTGTGGTTGTTTGTTGAGTTTGTCCAGGCTCAAATCCATCCATGTTTCTTTCTATTCCAGCAATGATATAAAACACACACAACAGATGGCCACCACTGGCAGTTTTGTGCTGCTGAGGTGTACAGACATAAACACGTGCGAGCGCACATACACTCACACTCACTCATACACATATACACACATGTATGCGTGCACACACAAATTATGCACAAATAAGTGCATGCACACCTATGATATTCTCTCCTTGATCCTTTGCAGGTACCTCTCCTTGATCCATGTGCAGGTATTCTCTCCTTGATCCATAGCTTGGTATTGTCTCCTTGATCCCTAGCCTGATATTCTCTCCTTGATCCCTTGTCTGGTATTCTCTCCTTGATCCCTAGCCTGATATTCTCTCATTGATCCTTAGCCTGGTATTCTCTCCTTGATCCCTAGCCTGATATTCTCTCATTGATCCTTAGCCTGATATTCTCTCCTTGATCCCTAGCCTGGTATTCTCTCCTTGATCCCTAGCCTGGTATTCTCTCCTTGATCCCTTGTCTGGTATTCTCTCCTTGATCCCTAGCCTGATATTCTCTCATTGATCCTTAGCCTGATATTATCTCCTTGATCCCTAGCCTGGTATTCTCTCACTTGATCTATTCTATCATTTGATCCCTAGCCTGGTATTCTCTCCTTGATCCCTAGCCTGGTATTCTCTCCTTGATCCCTAGCCTGGTATTCTCTCCTTGATCCCTAGCCTGATATTCTCTCATTGATCCCTAGCCTGGTATTCTCTCATTGATCCCTAGCCTGATATTCTCTCATTGATCCCTAGCCTGGTATTCTCTCATTTATCCCTAGCCTGATATTCTCTGCTTGATCCCTAGCCTGATATTCTCTGCTTGATCCCTAGCCTGATATTCTCTGCTTGATCCCTAGCCTGATATTCTCTGCTTGATCCCTAGCCTGATATTCTCTCATTGATCCCTAGCCTGATATTCTCTCATTGATCCCTAGCCTGATATTCTCTCATTGATCCCTAGCCTGATATTCTCTCATTGATCCCTAGCCTGATATTCTCTCATTGATCCCTAGCCTGATATTCTCTCATTGATCCCTAGCCTGATATTCTCTCATTGATCCCTAGCCTGATATTCTCTCATTGATCCCTAGCCTGATATTCTCTCATTGATCTCTAGCCTGATATTCTCTCATTGATTCCTAGCCTGATATTCTCTGCTTGATCCCTAGCCTGATATTCTCTCCTTGATCCCTAGCCTGGTATTCTCTCCTGATCCCTAGCTGATATTCCCTTGATCTCATTGATCTCTAGCCTGATATTCTCTCATTGATCCCTAGCCTGATATTCTCTGCTTGATCCCTAGCCTGATATTCTCTCCTTGATCCCTAGCCTGGTATTCTCTCCTTGATCCCTAGCCTGATATTCTCTCATTGATCTCTAGCCTGATATTCTCTCATTGATCCCTAGCCTGATATTCTCTCATTGATCTCTAGCCTGATATTCTCTCATTGATCCCTAGCCTGATATTCTCTCATTGATCCCTAGCCTGATATTCTCTCATTGATCTCTAGCCTGATATTCTCTCATTGATCCCTAGCCTGATATTCTCTGCTTGATCCCTAGCCTGATATTCTCTCCTTGATCCCTAGCCTGATATTCTCTCCTTGATCCCTAGCCTGATATTCTCTCCGTGATCCCTAGCCTGGTATTCTCTCCTTGATCCCTAGCCTGATATTCTCTCCTTGATCCCTAGCCTGGTATTCTCTGCTCGATTCCTATGCAGGTTTTCTCACCTTGATCCCTGGTGTGGTTTGAGAAGCTATAGTGACTTGGAAAGATCACCAATGTACACGGACACACACACATACACATCTATCTTATTGGGAAGAACACCAAAGTACACACACACATTTTATTGACAAGAACACCAACGTACACACACACACATTTTATTGGGAAGAACACCAACGTACACACACACACACATCTTTTTGGGAAGAACACCAACGTACACACACACATTTTATTGGGAAGAACACCAACGTACACACACACACATCTTTATGAGAAGAACACCAATGTACACACACACACTTTTTATTGGGAAGAACACCAACGTACACACACACACACACACACACACACACACACACACGCGCGCATTTTATTGGAAAGAACACTAATGTATATATGAGTATACATATTTTTCTCTCTCTATGAAACTTGCTGGTAACAACTGGTGAATCGCGGCTAGATGCCGATTTCCTAACCCAAAAGTATTGTGTTCAATTCTGCATCGACTTTGGGCTTTTTCTTCACAAATTGACATTTGAGGTTGACCCTGTCTAAAATGGGTCCCAGGTAATGTTTTGTGAAGTAAAGGAGGTCTGCATGAGATTCACCACATCACCCACCGAATGTCATTTGCTCAATAATAATCTATCCAGCACCATATGCCTGGCGTGCCACTGGCGTAGAAAGGGTCCTTTAACAAAAAGTGAAATGGGCCGACAACCTTCATTGGATACTAGAGGCAGTGCCTCGTTAGTGCCCATACTCCCGCCCCTAGGTAAGTCGGGTTGAAACTGCTATATGTGTGTTGTTTGATAAGCAGCTCAGTAGCTTCAAAGATAAGCCCATATAAACACTTCAAGTTTTACGGGGGGGGGGGGGGGGGGGGGGAATAGTCACGACAGAAAATAAATGTTTACCTACTGCTATGCCATGCGTAACGAGGAAAGATTGACTTGGGAACAATGATATCAGGAGGGGAGACGGCACAGAACCAGCACTGAACTTTATAGATAGACAGAAAAATCAAATGATTTGGCCATGTAACAGGATTGGCATCGGACAGGGCACCACAGAGAGCAGATGTTATACAGATAAAAAGGTAACAGAGCTAGAGATCAACCACGCAAAACATGAACCGCAGAAATATCAGAGACACTGGAAAGTACTTTATACGAAGCGAACAGAAAGGCCCTTCCAGAGATTTCTTCCTGCCTTGACAACGCGAGGCATTCCAGAAGTAGAGAACAGAAAGAAATAAGAAGGATTGTGTTGATAAGAAGCAACACTCACAAACTGGGTATATTGACACCCTTACATGAGTCAAGGTGACACCCTCACATGAGTCAAGGTGACACCCTCACATGAGTCAAGGTGACACCCTCACATGAGTCAAGGTGACACCCTCACATGAGTCAAGGTGACACCCTCACATGAGTCAAGGTGACACCCTTACATGAGTCAAGGTGACACCCTTACATGAGTTAAGGTGACACCCTCACATGAGTCAAGGTGACACCCTCACATTAGTCAAGGTGACACCCTCACATGAGTCAAGGTGACACCCTCACATGAGTCAAGGTGACACCCTTACATGAGTCAAGGTGACACACTCACATGAGTCAAGGTGACACCCTTACATCAGTCAAGGTGACACCCTCACATGAGTCAAGGTGATACCCTCACATGAGTCAAGGTGACACCCTCACATGAGTCAAGGTGACACCCTCACATGAGTCAAGGTGACACCCTCACATGAGTCAATGTGACACCCTCACATGAGTCAAGGTGACACCCTCACATGAGTCAAGGTGACACCCTCACATAAGTCAATGTGACACCCTCACATGAGTCAAGGCGATAACCTCACATGAGTCAATGTGATACCCTCACATGAGTCAAGGTGACACCCTCACATGAGTCAAGGTGACACCCTCACGTGATTCAAGGTGACACCCTCACATGAGTCAAGGTGATACCCTCACATGAGTCAAGGTGATACCCTCACATGAGTCAAGGTGATACCCTCACATGAGTCAAGGTGAGACCCTCACATGAGTCAAGGTGATACCCTCACATGAGTCAAGGTGAGACTCTCATAACAGTCAAGGTGACACCCTCACATGAGTCAAGGTGACACCCTCACATCAGTCAAGGTGATACCCTCACATGAGTCAAGGTGATACCCTTACATGAGTCAAGGTGATACCCTCACATCAGTCAAGGCGATACCCTCACATGAGTCAAGGTGACACCCTCACATCAGTCAAGGTGAGACCCTGACATGAGTCAAGGTGAGACCCTCACATGAGTCAAGGTGATACCCTCACATCAGTCAAGGTGACACCCTCACATCAGTCAAGGTGAGACCCTCACATCAGTCAAGGTGAGACCAGTCAAGGTGACAACCTCACGTCAACATGGCTGCCTCACAACAAACACTCACATCAGACTGTGCTGGCTCTAATATGATACATCAATGAACATGAGATAATATGACCCCATTAACCCATCTGTCATCAGTTATGACATCAGACACACTATCTTTATGACACACACCAGATGCCAAATACCACGACATTACATAATTAGATGTTCTGACATAATGACAGCAGACGTTTAGATATCAGAAATCTATGACACCAGTCAGTCAGATTTCAATCTCTCTCTGATGCTAAACATTAAATATACATGTACAGCCATTACATATGAATGACAACAAGAAGCTGCAGTGCCAACCACGTCCCGTTCTTGAGCCTGACCAGAACTCCCCCCCCCCCACCCCCACCCCCAACTCCCCCTTCCCCTCCCCCTCAGAAGTGCAGACTATGATCCTGACCAGACGTAAAAATGACTGTGTCCACCACAAGTCCAGCTTGTGAATCTGACCAGACTGCCATCTACCATGTCTACAGCGAAGAGCCAGGAGTGGCCAAGTATCCTTTCTCTGAGATGTTCACCCTCCAGACCCTGAAGTTGGCTCCCTGTGTTCCCTGGAAATCCATATCTCCCAGGAGAAAGAGCTGGGCACGGCAGGCAGTGAACCATAAGAAGCCAGACTCGTCTATGGTGAAGGAATCCGGCCATTGGAGTTTCTCATCGTCATGCACCAGCTCCGTTTCAGTTTTCAAGAGGACATTTGAGGCATCCACACCTTGGTCCCGCTCGTCTTTGCTCACCTCCCAACGGTAGACTCCATTCCGGGTTAGAGCCCCATAGAAAAGATTATTGGTAGCGTAAGTCATGCCTCCAGTCTGTGAGATCTTGGAGCCCACAAAGCGGACACTGTTAGCGAAGTCCTCTCCTGGATACCTGACAATATCCGAGGGAACCTGGTAAAGGTCTCTGCTGCCCAGCGGGCAGAAGTAGAGGTACTGGAAATCTGCAGACATGGCGAGACCATCAATGGGAGTTACTAGTTTGAATGTCTGTCCGTTCACGGTGATGTCCGACCCCAAGCCTGGGTCAGCGTCCATGGACGAGTGATGCACCGTGTGGCTCAGATTGGTTTCAAGGCTAAAGGTGACCAGTTTAGCATCAATGGCGTCGGTGATGTGAACCCACCTCACCTGGGTAGATAATGCGTTGCCACGGTCGAGGACAATGTCGTTGAGAAAGTTGGTTTCTTTTGAAACAAGATCTTCCGGAAAATCATGGCTGCGTACAAGATGCCCATCTGTGGATGTGTACAATATAATAATCTTATTCATCATCATCATCATCACAAATGCATTGTTCCTATTTACAGTACAGCTGCGAAATTTGGCTATCCTCTGAATAACGGTCCCAAATTATCGAGGCTGAAAATATACACTAACAGGGCCTCAGTCGCATGTAAATAGCGTACCTGTTTCCGACGACTATACCGCCATCGTCGAGAATATCTCTCGCGCTGGTACAGAAAGGGCTAAACTAGATGACTGGGACTCACGAGCAAATAAAATGAAAGAAGCTGCAAGAGATGCGGTAGTTGTAAATTTTCATGGATGACTAACAACCAGTCAACAAACTTCAACTAGCATTCTGAAATTACCAAACAAGTAACGAAGTCAGATGAGAAACTAGATTATTGTTGGCTTGAGAGAATGATGCACCCCGGTGTGACCAAAGGGTTCGGCCGGCACACTACGCTTAGAGGAAAGGCAAGTCGGACATACAACCAGGATACGACTGGCACCATTAGTACTAGAACTCTGCGTTGGCTGCTGAGGATAGGGACAGAGGGCATATGTGAATGCCCCGAGTGCTGCGATTTCAATTCTCAACTCAACTCAGCTCTGAAATTACTTTCCCTTACCTGCAAGATCAAAGACCACAAGTTTGGCGGGACACACCACCGGAGCCGAATCGTTGCTGACGTCACCAAAGAAGCCAGACCGACCCACGTCTATCACGTACATGTGTCCAGAGATTGGGTCAACCTCCATGCTCATGGCACACTGGCATTGGAAAATATGATTTCATTCATGCCACAAAGTGAAATATAACTCAGGAAACTTTAAGATAATATTCTCCTCTTACTTCTCATCCTTTTTTCTTCTTCTCCTTCTTCTTCTTCTTCTTCTTCTTCTTCTTCTTCTTCTTCTTCTTCTTCTTCTTCTTCTTCTTCTTCTTCTTCTTCTTCTTCTTCTTCTTCTTCTTCTTCTTCTTCTTCTTCTTTTTCTTCTTCTTCTTATTCTTATTTTTCCTGCTCTTCTTCTTCTTCCTGCTCTTCTTTTTCTTCTTCTTCTTCTTCTTCTTCTTCTTCTTCTTCTTCTTCTTCTTCTTCTTCTTCTTCTTCTTCTTCTTCTTCTTCTTCTTCTTCTTCTTTATCTTCTTCATCTTCTTCTTCCTGCTCCTCTCCTCCTCCTCCTCCTCCTTCTTCTTCTTCTTCTTCTTCTTCTTCTTCTTCTTCTTCTTCTTCTTCTTCTTCTTCTTCTTCTTCTTCTTCTTCTTCTTCTTCTTCTTCTTCTGCTTCTTCTTCTTCTTCACAACTGAACTCACATAACTAATAGCTGAGCTAAAATAATTCACAACTGAACTCACATAACTAACAACTGAACTAACATAACTCACAACTGAACTCACACAATTACAGCTGAACTAACAGAAGACACAACTGAACTTACATAACTCACAACTGAACTCACACAATTACAGCTGAACTAACAGAAGACACAACTGAACTTACATAACTCACAACTGAACTCAGATAACTAATAGCTGAACTAACAGAAGACACAGCTGAACGAACATAACTCACTTCTGAACTCACATAACTAACAGCTGAACTAACATAACTCTTAACTGAACTCACAGAACCCATAACTGAACAAACTCACTCATAACTGAACTCACATAACTAACAACTGAGCTAACAGAAGACCCAGCTGAGCTAACATAACGCACAGCTGAACTCACAGAATTCACAACTAAACTCACATAACTAACAACTGAACTAGCATAACTCACGACTGAACTCACATAACTAACAACTGAACTAACAGAAGACACAGCTGAACTAACAGCTGAACTAACGTACAGATTAATTAAAATACCTTACAGACAGCGCTCAGCCGAACTAAGGTAACTCACAGACAGACAACACACAACTGAAGTAACTAAACTTGCACACACAGTTGTGGCAACACCAACAACTAGGAACGCTACAAATCGTTGACCATAAACTGACCTGCAGGGCGCTACAGTTGCCCAGCTCCTGCCACTCCCAGGATGGAAACGGCCGTAGCACAGACTGGTTCCCCTTCTGAACCACCTGATTAAGTGTGGACGGCACGCCGTTGGTGTAGCGCAGTCTAGGGACACTCAGATACACCTGACCCCTGTAATGCGCCAAGTAAAGGAATTAGAGGTCGTTTTGTTTCCCACCCCTGTCTTGTTTGCTGCATGGCTTGTAATGTAAAGTCAAGTTGGTAGATGTGAACCAGCGTCATTGCACGCAGTTATAAACCATAAGTGCTATGCCACCAGTACAGACAGCTCATGAGAAACTGTTCGCCTGTGTCGCCGTCCGCACGCAACTCCGTAGCTACAGCGACGTTCCTCCATTTACCCCAGAGTGTTAACTCTGGTATCTATTACCTAGAGGCTGGGTGAACCCCGGGAACCGCCCGGTTTCGAACACCGGCCGTGGGCTGCAGCGAGTCGCAGCTGAATTTAAAAGCAAGTCTCCTATTGACTGCGCTAACGCGATCCCCTGCATAGCTTGTGTTGGAGTCATAGCTTGAGTTGGTGTGACGGCTTGTGTTAATGTCGTCCCGTGTTTCTGTTGTGTCTCTTTTACTCCCCTGTATGTATGTGTGTATGCATGTATGTATGTTTGTATGTATGTGTGTATGTATGTATGCCTGTATGTATGTATGCCTGTATGTATGTAATGTATGCATGCATGTATGTATGTGTATGTAAGTGAGTGGGTGAGCGTGTGTCTGTAGGTGTATGTATATGGGTGTGTATATGCACGCGCGGGTTTTTTGCATGCACTTTACAACTCATGCTTTTGTGTTCTTTTATAATATTCATAATATGTATATCATCATATGATCATAACATGCTTTATTAGTAAAATACAACTGCTGTGCGAAAGATGGTTGACTGGAAGGGCCGAATGTAAGACGGGCCTGCGTGCCCAATTTGTGACCGTTTGAAAAGAAAGTTCGTTCGTTCTGTTCATTTATCTTTTGGTCGGCCTCTTGACATGAATCCTGTTGTTCTCGCGTTGTACGAAAGATGAATCTGTAACTACCTGAATATGAAGCTGTTCTGTTTACACTCTACTTTCACACATCCGCCCCTGTCTGCATACACTCTACTTTCCCACATCCGCTCCTGTCTGCATTCTCTACTTTCACACATCCGCTCCTGTCTGCATACACTCTACTTTCCCACATTTGCTCCTGTCTGCATACACTCTACATTCCCACATCCGCTCCTGTCTGCATACTCTACTTTCACACATCCGCTTCTGTCTGCATCTACTCTACTTTCCCACATCCGCTCCTGTCTGCATATACTCTACATTCCCACATCCCCTCCTGTCTGCATATACTCTACTTTCCCACATCCGCTCCTGTCTGCATACACTCTACTTTCCCCCATCCGCTCCTGTCTGCATGCACTCTACTTTCCCACATTCGCTCCTGTCTGCATACACTCTACATTCCCACATTTGCTTCTGTCTGCATACACTCTACTTTCACAAATCTGCTCCTGTCTGCATACACTCTACATTCCCACATCCGCTCCTGTCTGCATACACTCTACATTCCCACATCCGCTCCTGTCAGCATGCACTCTACATTCCCACATCCGCTTCTGTCTGCATACACTCTACTTTCCCACATCCGCTCCTGTCTGCATACACTCTACATTCCCACATCCGCTCCTGTCTGCATACACTCTACATTCCCACATCCGCTCCTGTCTAAATAGACACTCCTTTTGCATTCGTATTCCTACAATTCCAGTCTTTGATGGTTCCTTACACGTCTAGATTGATGTTTTCTCTTAGGTCTTAGAGTTCTAGTCCTTGATGTTTTCTCTTAAGTCGTACAAGTCTAGTATTTGATGGTTTCTCCTAGGGCTTACAAATCTAGTCCTTGATGTTTTCTTTGAGGTCTTACAAGTCAAGTTCTTGATGTTTTCTCTTAGGTCTTACAAGTCTAGTCCATGATGTTTTCTCTTAGGTCTTACAAGTCTAGTCCATGATGTTTTCTCTTAGGTCTTAAAAGTCTAGTCCTTGATGATTTCTCTTAGGTCTTACAAGTCTAGTCCTTTATGATTTCTCTTAGGTCTTACAAGTCTGGTCCTTGATAGTTTTCTCTTAGGTCCTCCAAGTCTAGTCCTTGATGTTTTCTATAAGGTCTTACAAGTCTAGTCCTTGATGTTTTCTATAAGGTCTTACAAGACTAGTCCTTGATGTTTTCGTTTAGGTCTTACAAGACTCGTTAATTTTTTGTTTATTTTTTTGGTCGCCCGTTACAAGTCTAGATCTTGGTGCCCTGGAGATTTGTTCTGTGTAGCCGTTACAAGTATACATCTTGGTATCCTTGGAGTTTATACAGTATTGTCCGTTACAAGTATACATCTTGGTGCCCTGGGAATTTCTACTGTATAGTCCGTTACAAGTCTAGATCGTGGTGCCCTAGGAATTTCTACTGTGTAGTCCGTTACAAGTCTAGATCTTGGTGCCCTAGGGGGTTTCTACTGTGTAGTCCGTTACAAGTATACATCTTGGTACCCTAAGGATTTCTACTGTGTAGTCTGTTACAAGTATACATCTTGGTACCCTAAGGATTTCTACTGTATAGTCCGTTACAAGTCTAGATCTTGGTGCCCTGGGGATTTCTACTGTGTAGTCCCTTACAAGTCTAGATCTTGGTGCCCTGGAGATTTGTTCTGTGTAGCCGTTACAAGTATACATCTTGGTATCCTTGGAGTTTCTACTGTATAGTCCGTTACAAGTATACATCTTGGTGCCCTGGGAATTTCTACTGTGTAGCCCGTTACAAGTCTAGATCTTGGTGCCCTGGAGATTTGTTCTGTGTAGCCGTTACAAGAATACATCTTGGTACCCTAAGGATTTCTACTGTGTAGTCCGTTACAAGTCTATATCTTGGTGCCCTGGGGATTTATACTGTATAGTCCGTTACAAGTCTAGACCTTGGTGCCCTGGGAATTTCTTTTGCGACCTTCATATATCTTGGTGCTTTGGTATTTTCTCGGAAAGTATGCAGACATTTTTATTTGTGTCTTGTTAGACGCACGTGCTCGCTTGTCGGCCTGAAGGTCTATCTGACTTGTTTGGTAATATAGCTGTTGGTGTCCACATTATTTTCATATGACGCATTTTAAAAATTTCTTGTTATTTTTTTTTTCCTTGGCTGCTTCGTTGTTTAGTCCATTGAGTTTTCCAGTCTCAGTTTACGTTGATTAAACACTGTCGATAAAGACTTAGGCTTTCAATCCGCAGAGAGGCGATTTTTTTTTTTTCAATATTGACCTGGTCCACTCAATTTAAAATGGGTACCTGGTAATGTACTGGGAAGTAAAGGCAGTCGGTGTGACGCTGACCACATCACTCATCGAGTGCCTGATAATCCGATAGAAATATAGATCTAGCACTACATGCAGGAGTCGCGGAAGGCTACACATTGAAGGGTCATTTAATCAATACTGTTGTGGTTATGCTTTCACGTACTACCTAGAGGGCTGCGTGGTCTCGGGGCATGGTGTCCGCCTCGAGTGCTAGAGGTTCAATCCCCGGTAAGGGCTGGGATTTTTTTTCACGTGGACTTGGACTTCTAGTAATTCCCCCTGGTCTCTGGGTAGTGAGATCGAACGCCCATGTGCATTGTTGCGCACGTAAAAAAATCCCTTGGCAGTTGGAAACCGGTGCTACAGAGCCTGTGCACTGTGCTGAGCTTCATCGGACTCAGAAGAAAGGTTACCACCCGTGTGGCATGATGTTGATCCGTTGTTGAAACCTCAGACCTCACCTGACTACATCCATGTACTACATATTATTATTATAATACTAGAGCTGTGGTTTTCAACCTTTTTCATGGGCCCCGCTAACAACCCCCCCCCCCCCCTTCCCCCACTCAACTTTAAAAAATTTCATTAGAAAGATTTAATGCAAGCGTTATCATACTAATTTGATTTTTAACGGTAGATGTATGTATGTATGTAAGTTATACCCCACCAGGACATCACACAAGCGATAAACACTCGGTGACACAAAGTGCCACCATGCGGATGATGATCACCCGTGGAGAGGTCACGGAAACCCCGTTCAGCCATTAGGCCATATTTCAGGCCCGGCTATATTTAGGGCACCCGGCAAAAGCCAGGGTGGGGCTTTAAAAAAAAAACTAAAAATTGCGTCCCACAAGGGGATGACGAGATAATTAACGGTAGATAAACATGAAAACAAACATGTCCTTGGCTTTTTATTTGTTTAAAGTTGTTTTAAAATTATCTTCTGTATAATTAAACTGGGAAAAAAAGTGTTAGTATAACAGTTTAAGGTTTTTTATTAATATCTCACCCCAAGATGACGTCACAGAACAGTCCAACATTTTAGAGGGTGGTAAGACTGGGTTTCCCGGCTTTCTGATGCTTTTAACGACCTCAAAACATCTAGAACTGGTCTAACCCCAACCCACCTACGTCCCACGAGAGAGTGCAGCCTAGGTCCCACGAATGCATACAGCCTAGGTCCCACGACTGCCTGCAGCCTATCTACCACCCCTTGAAATATTAGACTGTCCAATGACCTGTGAATGTCTCCTGTTTTGGGTAGGATGTTAAGAAATCACCCAGTTTATTACAAGTAAAAATGAAATCAATTTCAAAACTTCTTGATGCTTTCCTTGAAATATCGCTACGGCCCCATGTTGAAAACCGCTCGTTCTGTTTCGTTCAAGAAATGTGGACAACATTCAGGGTAGAAATGTCTGTCAATATGCCAGCTCAGCTCCAACATCTTTCACAGAACCACATAACGCAAACACAAACATGACTTACTTGTAAGTTTTGACTCCTGAGACCAAATTATGGGATGGAACGTATCGGCCATCTTGCTCAAACTGGTGTTTCACATCGTCAGACGGCCAGTCATAGTCGACGGTAACCCATTCATAAACGACTTCAGCTTGGGCCCGACTTGAGGAGGCGGAGTTGTCCCCATAGACGCACACGACCAGGAATGTAGCATACCAAACCAGCAGCCTTGTTAAACGTGTCCCTCTGGCGGGTCTCATTGTGGCGATGTGGGAAGATTTCACTATTTAAGAGGATATTACAGACCTATTTAAAGCATACAGATGCGGCGCTCAACAGATCCTACAAACAAATCTGGCACCTGGAAGGTCTTACATACAGAACCAGCATCACACAAGGATAACCTAAGCCAGAATGCTAAAATAGGCCAAACAATGAGATCACATGTGACAGAGTGAACAGTTTTTTCCCTGCAGTTTGGTACTCTTAGTGAAGGGACATGCTAGGTCAGTAGACCCACCAGAAGTAGTGAAAGGACTTGCTGCGCCAGTAGACCCGCCAAAAGTAGTGAAGGGACTTGCTACGTCAGTAGACCCGCTACAAGTAATGAATGAACTTGCCAAGTCAGTAGACCCGCTACATGCAGTGAAGGGCCTGGTGAAGAAACTTATATAGTACGTACTGACACGGCAGATAAACTCCACAAACAAAATGTTTGTTCTAGTAGACGACTGCACTAAAGAGGCCATTTTGCTGATAACACTGAACCGCTCCCAATCCTGGACTCCGGAATCTTTCCGGACAGTTGAAGATCCGGGAGAGGCACGGACTTGTGTACTCTTGATCCAGTATTTAGCGGTGCAACTTGTTACTGGATAGGAACTTGGTAGCTCCGGTAAAACCACTGTTTTATCACAACATCATCATCAATGGGCGTCAACCCGGGTTGTTTGCCTCTAGCTCTGAAGGTCACAGGTCAATTTTGAACTGTGTGGTTCGGTTCATGAGCGCACTTATTTTCGGAGATCCACAGGCACAGTCGCTGGAGCTACAGAGTTCGTACGATGTAAAATACTTACCATATACGGCAAACTGCTCAGCGGAGAGTTAATTTCAAAACCGACATCGCATTACTCAAACAATTCCCAAAAGCGCTCTGTCATCATCTTGTGATTTTCTTTGGTGACACCCTGGCCACGTCTGCGGCACCATTCTCTCCTGACCGTATCTATCTGTCAATCCTTCTGCACTGTTAACTTGTCCACACGGGGTCTTGGCCACATTTAACTTGCCATGCATTAATTTACAATCAACTGGTACATCGCCAGCCAGTTTGTCCTGCTGTTCTTTTCTCAGCCCACCTTCATTGTCCTCGCATAAAAGATCCAATGGATGCTTAATATAACGGAGACCTCTGAGGTGATAACTGACACTGTATGCCTCCTGCCTTTCTCAGAACGTTGAGTGAGTCTATAACAATCGCAAAAGGGTGCAGTTCGTTTCCAAGCCAGCAGAAATCTGCAGTAATTGCGGACACCTGAATACTCAATTTAGATATGATATACTGTTTTTTTTTTTTAAAGTTACAGGAGATAAGTGTGTGTGCTGGCATTCAAGAGGTAGACAGCAGTACAGTATAAGTGTATGTGCTGGCATTCAAGAGATAGACAAGTCAGAAATTAAATAAAAAAGACGATAAAGTGGCTAATTAAAAAACCTGTAAAGGCGACAGACAGAGAGTATTGGAGATCCGTGACAGCCATCCTTCATTGTGGAGACGGCACCTGCAGGCACCATATGTGTAATATTGACAAGTTTGGGTGAGCCCAGTACCGTAGAGCCTGATATGAGCTCTGCCTTGTGGAAACCTCCCTTGGATATTGGGGACTGTCCATGCTCTGCCCTGCCTTCTCTTGAGCTGGGAGCTGCGTGGTCTCGAGGCATGGCGTCCGCCTCGAGTGCTGGAGGTCCCGGGTTCAAGCCCCAGTGTGAAGGCCGGGATTTTTCCTCTGGTCTCTGGGTAGTGAAACCAGACGGCCGTGTGTATTGTTGCGCACGTAAAAAAAAAATCCCTTGGCAGTTGGAAATTAGAAAAGAGTAACATAACGGCACTGCCCGGACAAAAGTTCGGAGTTGAAAATCTTCCTAAAGTATTTCAGGATTCTCGTGGATGCTACGGAGTTCGTGCACTCCGCTGAGATTCTTCCGATTCAGGCTTGAGTCAGAAGTAGAACAGAGCACTTATGGGTTATTACCCTCATGCCATGATGTTGATCCGTCGTCTAAACCTACACCCTTGAGCTTCGACCTGGACAGGTCCTCCAGGGACAATCCCTGTGGATCAGAGGATGATGAAGTCAGCAAACTATGAGGCCACACAGGTCCCATGAAGGTAACCACTAAGGCTAAGCTGGATAACAAATGCCCGAAGAAGTTGGATGTATCAGCCGAAAGGCGCAAATACAGCAGCTATACTGTTAAAGGTAAGTTGTGTATCCTTTACAGGACGTTGCAGAACCAACCCCAACAGCCCCTGGCTGATGTGTGGTTTTTCTATGCAAACTTACGTCCAGTAGTTTGCCATTGCTTTCTGGACGCTCGGCTTTTTCTTGATACCACTGTCGAAAACAACGCAAGGCGCATGGCCAGCAGCTGGGATCGAACCTGGCATTACGAAGCGTTCGCATCGACTGAGCCACAGAGCCGACCAGCTATACTGTTAACTATCACTAAATAACGATTGGACGATTAATGAAAATATGAACTAGTATTATTATTAGAATAGGACAGGCTTAGGCTGCATTTTGTAACATGAAGGTATTGTGCAATAAATCTATGTCACTGGAGGTTAGGAAAAGAATTCATGCAGCTACATATTGCAATTTTAACATATGGCTGTAAATATTGGAAAATCAATAAATAAACCAAACTATTCCTTGAGGAATCGGAGATGTGGTTTTACAGAAGAATCCTTACAATTCCTTGGACAGCCAAAAAGAGCTCCCAGATGTCCTGAAGGAGGCAAGGGCTCAAAGACAACTTACCACTTTTTGGTCCTGTAATGAGAGGAGGGAAACTGGAACATGTTGTGACAACTGGAAAGATGTATGGAAATAGAGACAGAGGATCTCTGAGAGTTCTGCTGTCCTGACATGGAGGGGTGTTAACACGTGAACTGATACATGTAAAAGATCTCAGATTGTGGTAAGGTATGATCGCCAACGCCAGGGCACTTGATAATGATGATGATTTCTGCAAGTTGCCCATGTCATTTCTTGGTTATGTTAAGGGGCAGAAAGCACGATTACCAGAGATAGTTTAGTCACCGGAGAGACAGGAATCCTGGTGACAGTTTCAAGTTGTGGAGAAAGTAGGTCCAAGTTTCAGTCAGCGTTGCCATGTCACATGTACAGCAGTGACAGTTCGGAGGTTATCAGAGCCTGTCCTAGACATAATCTCATGTTATATACAACTTTATTGATATGGGTTTTAGGGCTCAATTACTGTGCTGGGGTGATGGGGGGGGGGGGGGGGGGGGGGGGGTGGATAAACTCACGCCAAACAATCGTGTTGTAGTAGTCAACTGATTCAGGTTTTGCTGAAATATGATGTGTTGGGCTGAAAGGCACAGATATTGCAGCCTAGCTTTAAACCACAACATAATGTGTCAGCAGCCTTTTCAAGAGCAAAAGCTGAAGAAAAAGAAGAATAAGAAGAAAGAGGAGGAGGAGGAGGAGGAGGAGGAGGAGGAGGAGGAGGAGGAGGAGAAGAAGAAGAAGAAGAAGAAGAAGAAGAAGAAGAAGAAGAAGAAGAAGAAGAAGAAGAAGAAGAAGAAGAAAAACAAAATTAAGAAACAGAAGAAGAAAATGAAGAAGAAGAAGAGGAAGGAGGAGAAGAAGATGAGGAAGGAGGAGAAGAAGATGAGGAAGGAGGAGAAGAAGATGAGGAAGGAGGAGAAGAATAAAAGGACAAAGGAGGACCAAGAAGATGAGTGTTGGAGGACGGCTGGTAGAGAGAGGAAGGAGGAGAAGAATGAAAACAACCTTACACTCAACACACTAAACAAAGTCTTGACAAAAGGACCTAGAAATGTGGATGAGTGTTGGAGGACGGCAGGTATCATGGATGATGGATATATATTGGTATCACAACATGGATGTGTGGATATATATTTGACAATATCATGCTCACCAGTGTGGATATATATATTTTACTCACACACATGGATGTGTGGATATATATTTTATCCAAAGTATCACACACATGGATGTGTGGATATATATTTTATCCAAAGTATCACACACATGGATGTGTGGATATATATTTTATCCAAAGTATCACACACATGGATGTGTGGATATATATTTTATCCAAAGTATCACACACATGGATGTGTGGATACATATTTTATTCAATGTATCACACAAATGGATGTGTGGATACATTTCACCCAATGTATCACATATATGGTGATGTGTGAACACATTACAGACATACAAATGTATTGTTACATTGGATCAAACTTGAGTATCTCAGGCACAGACTATCTCAGACTACCACAAACACCCTTACAGCAGGGCTATTTAACCAGCGGTCCGTGTGCTACATCGGGGAGGGGGGCTAGCTAGTGGTCCGTCTACTGTACTGATCATCTTTCTATGCTTGGGCTCAGAACTCTGGTCCCTTAAGATCTGGATAATTTAGGCAGCTGACTGAAAGGATTTCAGCATTATATACTGCAATGATTATGTTAGTAGATGTGATGATGATAGTGATGATGACGGTGATAATGACAGCGATGGTGACAGTGATGATGACAATGATAATAGAAATGATGATGACAGCGATGGTGACAGTGATGATGACAATGAAAATGCAGTGATGATGGCAGCAATAATGACAGTGATATTGACAGTGATTATGGCAATGATGACAGCAATGACAGTGATGATGACAGCGATGGTGACACTGATAGCAACAAGAAAAGTCACCAAATCGACAAATAAAATATACTGTAGCCATTTAATTTAAACATTTTTAAACTATACACAGCCACAATAAAATGAATCTCAAAAATAACAATGCAACTGGTAGACTAATTCACAACTATTTTACACCAAAATTTAGCTGTTATACAATAAAACTCGACTGTTAACATGTCTCAGGTCAAGCATTAAAATTTAACTGTTCACACATTAAAACTCATGCACTGAAATTCAAGTGCTGAAACATTAAAACTCAAAGCTTTATGTATTAAAAT